CGTATCTCCTTTGAGAAATCTACTGTATATGTTGCGCCTCCAAATTCCATGGGTCCTATATACAGCTATGAATTACTCAATGAAGGATCTGCTTTATTTTGCAATAGGGAGCGCTTTCTTATTTCTCGGGGGTGAATAAAAGTCATTCGGTGTGAAACATAGACACATTTTGATTTTGAGAGGGCCTCTCACATCATTTCATGAAATGAAATGATAATTTTAGTTGATATAGTACATGATGGTATTTGAGGTAGAGATGTACATGGATCATTCTCAGGAATATATTGTACGACACTATAATAAAGCGGTCGACTTTTCTTGCACGAAAACACGTCAGGTACCCTTGCGAGGAGAGTTTTTTTTTATATTCTGGTTCCCACGGAGAGGGATATCCTGTAATGTTTTCAGAGAACATCGTGAGAACCAAGGAAAATGAGATAGGAATTGGTGTTCTTCTTAAATTTCTGAACGTTACATGCCTCGGAGAACACCTTCCTTGGCAATGTGTTCCAGAGCCTCGCTGTTCGTTGGATGAACGAGTCTTTGGAAAGAGATGTTCTGCAGGTCTCCAAAGTGACCACGAAGGGGTGCGAAGCCTCAACTCGACGGGTTAATCTCGCGGGGAAAAATATTTTGAAATTCAAAAATCAAAAAAATGAAGGGAAAGTGACTTTCATCGTTGACGTCTTGAATCTGTTTTGAAGCGAACAAAAGACCCCAAAAATCCTCAGCATCATATTCCTGCTTCTGTTGGATATTACCTCAAGTGCTCTTATGACAACTCTCATCCCAGCAATTTGGACTTGATGGTGTGAGAGTGACGGAACCATAATGTTGTAACCCTCACTATATTGATGATGTTCAGATTAGAAAACCCAATTGTGACATTCTGTCAGAAGATGAATAGAGTCATGTACTTCAAGACTTCAATGTTTTAGTTCTAACAAGAAAGTGTGTATACCAATCTCAGTTCACAGAATCGTTTCAATTGGCGACGAGTGAAAAACATAAAGCTATCAGAATAAGTTAAAGGCATTTTCAATAATTTTTCAAATGGACGCCGAACACTTCAGACAATTCATGACTGTGATGCATGACCAGCAGCAAATTCTCGTTAACGAACATGGTTCTCCTGTTAATTTGGTTCAAGTTTCGTTTAGCTGAAATCAGTTATGGAAAATTTGTTGCTATGGGGACCGCTGTCATGGTTACGAGTAAACAGAAAACAAAATCCGGTGGTGTATCGTAAGTTGTATCGGGTTCAGTATAGCTGAAGTTGTGGAAAAATTGTTGCTATGGCAATGATCGTCATGGTAACGAATACAGAAAAACCAGATTCCTGTGGTGAGTTAATGCGTGATTGCCAAGTTTACTATTTTTCATTTCATTTCAAAAATTCACAACATTTGAGGAATCAGAAAGACAGTGATGAATTTTCTTCTGAGTCAAGGTTTGATGCCAGCAAGACCTCATTGCAAGTCCAAATCCAAGGAACACAACAATCCGGTCGTTGAGCCATTTTTCCATTATTATTTTAGAGAAAGAGATTTGGAGATATGCCATTGTCCTGAATCTTGAAAATGTAGACAAAATATTCCAGTGGTGAAAGATACATGGATTGAAAATAGCAACTTGTCTCCTCAGAACGAATCCAAGTAAGTATTTTGTGTCCCAATACATATTTCTTATTGAGTAGTTGATATTCATGGGTCATTTGATTCTGCTTACTTGACCTAATTTGACCTAAAATCACCATCCTTCAAAACAACACCATCTAACTCAGCCAGAACAAACCCTTTACAATCGAAAATAATTTCGTCAAAACTTTTCTCAACAATGAATGCCTCCACAGTCCTTTTTCAGGGAGGAGGGAAAATATCCCTCCTGCATGAACACTACTTTTTTTTAACCATCTTACCTTACTCGACCTGAATGAACCTTCTTCCTAAGAAGACAATAGGTACTTCTTTCAGGGAGGAAGAAGAATATCCCTGCTGCATGAACACTACTTTTTTTTAACCATCTAACCTTACTCGACCGAGATGAACCTTCTTATTCCCAAGAAGACAGTGACTACTTTTTCCAGGGAGGAAGGAAAATATCCCTCCTGTATAAAAAAGTACACTTCTTTATCTAAACAATCCAACCTAATTCGGCTCAAATGAACCTTCTTCTAAGAAGGAATATATCGATCTCATTCAGTAGCAAGACATCGTTCGTGTGTGTTTGAAGAATGTGGCTGAATCAAAATGTGCGCGTGAAGGAAGGTATGGGTGAACCGAAATGAAGGCAAATGGAAATGTGGGTAGATCGAAATTTGGTCCTAACGAGATGTTTCCATCTTTATTAGACAACCAGTACCTCTGTCTCTTTTCCTATATCCTGCGCGATACCTCGTAATGAATATTCCAAAATGGCTCTGTTTCTTTTTGATTTTGTCGAATAGCTTGGCACGCGAAGGATGGTTGCATCGAAGAGTGTTTTAGGAATTAATGAATAAAGCAATATTTTCCCGATACAACTTGGCAACCACGCATTTCCTCACCACGGGAATCGGTTTAGTGTTCACTTGTTACCATGACGATCATCGCATGTCAATAGTTTTTCCATAACTGATTTCAGCTGAACTGAACCCGATACAACTTGGCAACCACGCATTTCCTCACCACGGGAATCGGGTTTTTGTTTACTCGTTACCATGATGATCGTTGCCATGGCAACAGTTTTTTCATAACTGATTTCAGTTAAACGAAACTTGAGCCTAAAAAATTGCTAGTTGAACATTTTCTGGGTCCTAAGGTAACCGTTACCAATTCTTCATCATAGATTTGAATGAGCTCCAGTATTGATTGAAAAATTGGTATATGCATCATTAAATGAAAAATTAAATAAACAGACGACAATTATGGCAATGTTTGTCCTTTGTCGCCAATAATGACTGCCTCGAGAGTTTTCCAGATTCTTGGTGTGATACATGCTGTTGCTTGTTCTTTGAACCTTCGATGCTAAAAACAGATATTGTCATCTCGGGGAAGCGACCTTGACCTTGAATTAAATCTTCGTCTGGGTGTCCGATTCCTTCCCTTGATCTTGATGGTCTGGATAAAGTTTATTTCAATTTCTGGATGAGTTGATCCATTTTACTATCTTCAGTTCGGGGTGTGGTCTAAGCATCGTGTCGGTTAACTGAACATGCGTCAGTTCTTGCTATTCCTTTAACCATTTCATCTGCCATATTAACTGAATCTTTGTCCTCCAGTTTTTCCCTGAAAGCTCTGATTATATGTTCTACTGTTTTTAGTGATTTTGCAAGCCATGCTAGAATCATGTAATTCCTGGACATTTCAAGAAGTCATCTCTTTGTACAATCGACTTGTTTTTTCATCACCAAGTTCGCATTCAGCAAAAAGTTTCATCAATTTTTCATCGTCGGAAATGCGATACAAGTTGATTAGCTGCTTCTTCAATATATCATAGGCATTTTTGCCATTTCTCAGTTTGAAAATATTAGCATTGTCCTTCACGAACGAGTAATATAGAAGTGATGAAATTTTTATAAATTTAATTCCATTTGAAGTAATTTTATTGATAGTAAACATAGTTTTGACTGTATCAAGCTCCGGTTGTTTCTAAAATGATGGCATTTGGGATTTTGAACAAATGTACTGCTTCACAAGATCCTCATTGATGATTGATCACTTGACGATGCATTGGGAATAGTAAGAGGTGTTGGGTGGGACACATTTTCTTGAAGTGGATTATGATCTTCTTTTGGCTTCTAGATCTCTCATGTGCTTCTCAAATGATTCAAGTTTTGTATTTTATCATAAAGTTTCATAATCAATTGACTGCAGAGGTTCTCCAGGTAACAGGAGTTCTTGGTTATCGATTTCAGGTTTGGTATCGCTTTGAGAGCTTCCCCTAGTAAGTCAAATAAATCGAAATCGGAAACTTTTGTAACTTCAGGATAGTTCTCCAAGATATATGCGCTTCTAATTTCAGCTTCAAATCACCAGTTGTACCTCCAGTATGGATGTGGAGATATCTCAACAGGGCAATAATTTGGTCCTTTTTTTAAATTTTGTGAATAAATCGCCATTTCGTGTGTAGGGGTCACCAATTATGGATGGTTTTAAGAATTAGGTATAAAAGATTCTCAACGTTTTGATTGACATCTATACTTTTTTATTATGACGTCCAAGTCAATACCACTTGTCACCTACAGGAAGATCATATCAGAGATGTGGGTATTACTACAAAATCAGTTACTAAAATTGAAGAAAACAAAAAAAAATAACATTTGTGGATCATCGCGATCAATAATATATACTGTAGCAATAAAAAGTCAGCTATTAAACAGACAGTTATAAACAACGATAATGTATCAACTTATGACTCAGATATGATTTTCTGGGAGGAACTCAACTTCAAGTACTCGACCAATCTAACGAGATAAGATGCTTCGAATAGTTTATCGAATAGTTATGTAATTATGTATGTCACTAACAGAGCCTCTGTTTTTGATTACAGGTATACACTTCGAATCCTTCGCATCTGGAAATTTTCCAGATGTGAAAGATGTAGATATAATTATGATATAATTTCTAGACAGACAGATTTGAGAATTTTACTATTTTTTATCTATGCCAGCAGACTGATGAGATTACTTCCAAGGGCGTCACTGGTTCAATAAAAAATCTTTTGTAGAATCTGTTTATTTTTTATTATCATTATTGGATGTGTCGAAATTTTGAGAAGACTATGAACAAATCGTTTATGAAATTACTGTTCATGATTGGAGAGCTCGATAAGTTATGATAAGACTTTATCATTTTTGCGTTTTTAACTTTCAATAAGGAACTAAACACGCAATTTGTACATTAGTAGAGGAGAGGAGAAGATGTCGTAGGAAAGAAGAAGTATTCTTATCAGTTCTACAAACCTTGACCTCACGTCTCACTAGCGCGATCATGACAATCAAATATGAAAAAATAAATTACCTTTAGTGGATCTGTTTGAAGAAAAGTGACATCATTAATATTTGGTGCTGTGAAAGGATGATGTGCTGATTGTAAGCACTTCGTTGTTTCAGACATTTCGAACATAGGAAAATCAACTATCCATAAGAAGTGCATTCCTTTTTTCCTCACAAATATCCCAGAGTTTTCTAAAAAGTTCACGTATTCCAGTCTTATCTTTCCCAACAGCTGGAGCTGAAACAAATATAGGTAGGTTACTTGAAACGGGCATAACTGAAACGAGTTTGTATTATTTTGGACTCGTTTCTAAGTGCATTGATTATGAAAAAAAAACTATTTATATGGAAGTTTCATGTCAAGAGTGGCTGTGGAATTTGAGAGCAATCTGGGGTAATTTGTGATAGTTATTTATAACGAAACGTCCAGAGAGCGGTGGCGGTTTATCCAATAGACGCATGAGGGCGCGCCCTGTAAATACATTTAAAAATAAGAAATACCAACTTCAGTAGTCCTAATTCAACTGTTAGTGCTGAATTATATATTTTTCTATTACGAAATCAACAAAATTCACTGAAAGTGACAGATCTCGAAAGTTAACATACTATCCATCAAAATACATTCGGAAATATAGGTATTTTCAACTTCCTCGAATGATTGTTTGAAACTCTGTATGTGAGTATGTGAGTTTTTTTCGATACCTTGCCAACTATCCCTACTTTTTTTCTCTTGATAGTCATTTCTTTCAATTTTCCGCTATACCAGTGATCCCCTGACATGTGTCAGAATAGATTTTTATGTTATCGGACATGCAGATCCCCGAAAAAAAATGTCAGATAAGTACTCATATCAAATTTCTGTTTGCCGTGCAACTCACCGCTGAAACTCCACAAGTTCATGAAAATCCTCATTTTGCATAATACGGATAGGTACACCGTACAATACAATGGTTTGTGGAACACGTGCGTACCTAGAGTGGATAGGGAGATGAGGTAGGTATTGCAATCTTTTGAAACTTTTGGAGGTTATGAGCTTTTCTGGATACTTCCAGAGATGGATAATTCTCAAGATCTGTCGTTCTAATAATGATGGACATTTGACATCAGACGAACTCGACAAGCCCAGTCAACACATTCTTTTTTCGTCAACCTTGAAAAACTATACCAAAACTCGTTTCTTTATAGAACGGCGGAGCTTTACCAAAGGAAATATTCCCAAGAGAGTATTCCCTCTTCTTATCTCTATATGATACAAAGGACTTTCATAGAACAATGAATCAAATCTGTGCAATCTGATGAATCTAAATACCTTGAATCTCGATATGCATTACTGATGCGATAATATACATGAATCGAAACTAAGGAAATCATACGCATTCGAAGTTATTCTCAAAGCGGACCATACTGATCAAATACATATTTTGCGACATTTAATCCATATCAATCGACCAAAAGCATTAATTATAGTTAGATTAGTTACCATATGCAAGCAGCAACGATATTCATCATTTCAATGAATACATTCTTCTCAAGATCTATCAATGTGTAGGGTAACAATGAACAGGTTCACACATGATTTTCACAAAAACTGACACAGCACTTGTCCATCATGTCCTAGCAGGCAGTGTTGAGAATTGTACTAATTAATAGAAATAAAGAATGATCGACAAAACAAAAAATTAAATCAATCACCCCAATTTATCCATGCAAAATTCAATATTAAATGGGAGACAGCGAGTGCACAACTTCGCGTTTATAATTATCATATCCTGGCAGTTACTCTGAGGAGTTTATGTTACGATGCTAATATATTAATATCTAGCAGCCCTATGTGAAGTTTGCTCGACACAAGCGTCGTTTCTACCATTCGTATTGAGATATCGGTTTTTTCAGAATCGGTTCTTGTAGAAAATTCTTGGACAGGTGATTTCGATTCATTCATGTCCAACAGTGAGTCGGGACCAGAAAACCATCGAATCGAATTCATAGAGTTATTTCCATCAAAAGTTTACGATATGGTTGCGATATCAGCTGCAGTTTGGACGGAACCCAGTACCAAGCACTAGTATTGGTCGATTCTTGAATCTCTCCAAACCAATGTGATTCAAACTGTCCCAATCGTCCACCGTCATTCTTAATCCAGAAGAGCACTGTCAGTCAAAAAAAACATTTCGTCACATGAAATACCTAACTCAGCTACAAGCGTGTTCGATAGTCTACAACCTATGACTGCAACTCTTGTAACTCAAGTTTTGGTATAGATATCGGTTTTGTAGGTGCCACTCTTTTTTTTGCCATAACCAGATCTGTCTGATACACTCTTACGACAATGACAAATATGGCAGAGGAATTGCTTATTTGAATGAGTTTCGGGACTGCTGTCATATATACCCATCTGGGACTTATTTTTGTAGTTTTTCTTGACCCTGTACTACCTTTCTTGCTACGCTGAGACAGATATTATCTTGTCCAATGATATTTACAGGTTGTTCTGTTATATCACCAATTGGAAGTCCATTCAGATATGTGTATTTTTTCCAATCAAAAAAGATCATTCTCCAGGGGGTAACAGGTGATGAATTTCAGTCAAGATTGTACCCCTGAGTTAGCTGTTTACCTGGCCGAGATTTACTTGGTATTTCGAACCTCAAAAGTTTTGCTACAAAATATAAGTGATTTAAGTGCCTGTTGAAACTGTAGAAACCAAACACTGGTAGTTCATCGGGACGAAGGGAAAGCTACGTTAATTATTCAAGTTATTAAGGTGAATACATATTTATTAACAAGAAAAATTGGAAAATACAGTTTTTTATCTGAAATTTCCCCTGATTTCAAAGAACAACAAGACGACTGTTCAATAAAATTATCGAAAGATTAAACCAAACTATGGTTGTATGGAATCAATTCTCCAGTCCATTCCGCATTATACAGGGAGTCCAAAAATCGTTGGAACACAGAGCTACCACGTGTAGAGGAGGTCAAAATAAGTTGATTGGAACCAATTCATTTATGTGCCAAAATGTCCGTGAGATGGGTTTAAAGTTCACATAAAAAAACACATTTTTGTACGCTGTTCAAAAATAAGTGGAACGGATTTTATGAAATTTGACAATAGTGTATTTCAGAAGATTAGTTCCGTTTTGATAATCAAAGAAGCCTAAAAGAAATTGTAGAACGGTCTAGACCACCCTCACCCACTGACATTTTTTTCAGAACTTTTTTAGGGCTCATAATACGGTTCTGAAATTTTTAGATCTTGAAGACTAATCAATCACCTTCATTGTATTACTCTTGTGAAAGTTTCGTATACCGCATAGTTTCGAAGAAAAAAAATGTTCTTTCAAATAATGCTACCAGATATTCCTATGGAACAAGTTTAATTAAATTGTGATATAAAACTTAGTTGCTAGTGAAAGCAAAAGCAGAACGTTTCTTAATAATGAATCTTCAACATGACGCCCACCTTCATCAATACAAATATCAATTCGACGTAAAAAATTGAAATGCACCCTCCTCAGGACATCGTCGTTGTCTCGCAGTGCGTCAACGACATTTTGGAATATGTTCCACAGCTGTTCGGAAGTATCAATTTGAACTTCATACACTTGTGTTTTGAACGCTCCCCAGGTGAAGAAGTCGCACGGATTCAAATCTGGACCGCGGAGGTCATTGAATAGGTGCTTCTTGTCCCCTACCAATCGATTTATCAGGAAGTTGTTCGTTTAGATATTGTCTTACTGCACGTGCAAAATGAGGTGGTGCACCGTCGTGCATGAAAAACATGTTTCGACGAACATTGAGGGGCAAGTCCTCTTATAAATCTGGCAATCGGATCGACCCAGCCAAAGTTTCGATGAATCCGATCCAAATATTAATTTTAAATTCTCGTTGATAGTGTCTAGCTTTAATGACATGTGGGTTTTCATCAGCATATACATGCTCATTGTGCAGGTTCGTGATGCGACGACGTGTAAAACAAGACTCATCATTAAAAAAAATATTAGTGTGAAATCTGTTGTCGAGTAGTCTGCGCGTCCGAACAATCCGTGAAAAAATTAAACGTGATCCGCGGGCGAGTGGTAATAACTCTTGCACAAACTGTATATGAAATGGATGAATTAATTGTTCTCTGCAGATCCGATTCATAGTGTTTTTTGGAATGATCTGGTACTCATCTATATTAAGAACAGTTTCTTCCGTATTAGGTTTTTGGACTCGGGGTTTTCCAGCGTTAATTCTGACTGGTTTCAACATCCCTGTTTCTCGAAGACGTCTCTCGGTGCGGGCAAAAGTTTTATGATTTGGAATTCTACGGTTTCGATACGTCTCTTGGTATACGCGGGTACTTCTGCGACAGTTATTTTGACAGAATCCAAGAACTAAGATCATATCGGTCTGCTCATTATAAGATAAATCCATATTTGATAGCAGTCAAAATAACAACAACAATAATTAAATAATAATAAATGGTCGGTATTGGTACTCGAGGTAATAACAAAATTGGAGAATTTATTGAAATATTGACAGACAACGTCAAAAACAAACAGGAATGACAATACATGTTTTCCTGTCAAAATCACGACTTGCCTTCGTTTCCACTGCCAACTAAATTTTATATCACAATTTAATTAAACTTGTACTGGGAATATCTGGTAGCATTATTTGTGAGAACATTTTTATTCTTCGAAAATATGCGGTATACGAAATTTTTACAGGAGTAATAAAATGAAGGTAATTGATTAGCCTTCGAGCTCAAGAAATTTCAGAAATTTCACCCCTAAAAATTGTTACACTTCGTTCATGACGTTACGAAAATACTGCAGAAAACAGAGCTATGCATTATTGTTTACCTACTTTTCACTCTTTTTCATTGGTTCATAATTGAATTCATCTGTGATGTTTACTACTGGCTATCGATTGGTATTTCTCTGTTCGTTGTTATTGATTCTAACTCAATTTTTGCTGTAAATAAGGAATTATATTGTGATTTTTAGCCTACTAGTTATCGTTATTGCATACCTCTTGGTCAGAATGTTTTGTTTACAAATTTTGGTAGGTAGGTAGTTGGTTCCTGGAATTGTCGCACATGACTGATTCAGTCCACAGGTATTTCGCCAAATTTCATCTTGAATTTCGAGTATCATTCTTGTAATTATTGTTGCCGTTATATTTCCAAATAAATATCATTGTTATGTAATTATTGTAATTATTGAAAATGTCACTGTTAGCTTGATGACGTTTAGTCTCTATTGACGGTAATGACACTAATGACGGATGACCACTATTTGCGAACCTCTGCATGCATCTTCTCGAATTTTCGACATTGTCATCATGAAACATTGACCCATAGTTCCCTTGCTATCATCACGAATACGGACTCTAACGGCTCACAATCAGCACCATATCTCGTTATGATGATTTGGCACTCTGTATCTTCGCCATTATGTACCTGTTTGTTGATTTGGCACTAATTCCTTGTAAGTATGGGCGTTATGGGTTATGTTACATGGTGATAAAGGGTCATCGCACGGGAAGAAGATGATGACGTATTTCGCCCCACTATTCAGGTCTACAATGATCCTCAGTTGCGCATGACCGCGTTTGAATATTTGAAGTTTCAAATCCAAACAATAATAACTGGCAATAATATATTCTGACTTGAAATAAATGGTGATTCAATGATATTCCTTCTTTTCTGATGGTCTCGACACCTCTCTTGATATTATCGACATAGTTTTCACTACCATGGTGAGGTAGAAATGCCATGTACAGGGTGTTCGCGGGGATATCTCCCGCCTATAATTTTATATCGTCCGGTGATTGATGTGTGTGGGAGTATAGGGGAAGATACACAAAAAAGGGTGATCTTCCGGTGAGATGTGGCAAGGACAGCCCCTTCGATCTTCATAGGCACCATTTTGTCTGCAGCAGTCTACCAGCCTGGTCACAAAAAGTAAGCCGTGAGATCTGTTTCTTGAATAATTTCGAATTTGTCTAACATTCGATTTTCCATTACTTAGTGGGTACTTTCTGTAATCAGAGTAGAAAGGCAAACTCGCGGCACAGAAGGAGCGTATCATAAGACTGGCATAGTATAATCATATTGGTAGTTTCTGGGGTGGGAGTAGAACGGCAAACTCGCGTCGCGGAAGGAGCATAGCATAAAACCGGCATAGTCTAATCATATTGTGTTCTCGCTCAGATTTCTATACATCATTCACATAATATATAATACACAGTATGAGTGATACATACTTTTGACAGGATGCAATTTGAAATTTCTCATTCTTGAAATTTCTCCATCAATAGTTTCAGTTCTAGTTCATCCTTTTCGCGAATACGTGGAATTATTACATAAAATTGATACTACTTCATTCAGATTCCGTATTGTCCAAAAAATATTGGAGATACGGACCGGCCATATAAGTAATCACTGCCTACGTGCGGTCCAACGCACACCAGTTACATATAATGGGACAGGATGGTGGTATACGAGGTGTTTCTGAAATAAGTACATATATTCAGCATATCGATATGATACAGTCTAACGAATGTTCCCATGATATCAGATTTTTTCCAATTCTAATTAACGAGAAATTGCATCTCCAAAATTGAGCAAAAAACGAGAAAGAAATCAAGTAGGTCACTTCAAAGCAATTTTAATGATTGAACTCGTGATTGTATTAAATTAGAACAGACGTCAGAATTGCGACAGTGTAGAACTGAAAGGGGGTCTAACCCCAAAAATTCATTTTGATCCTTGATTTTTTTATTGGCGCCATTCGATAGTATACATCGAGCTACCTCAGTGTTTGGAATATTTACAATTATTTCAATGCCACCCTGTATAGTGGGACTATCCCATTATACGCCATTTCATTATGTCCCACTATACACCATATGTGTGGTACAAGATACTATTCTTTGGTAGAAGTCTATATTGCTCAGAGTGGAGTGAAATTTTTAAAAAGGTTGATGTGGAAAAATTACCTAATTTGTGCTTGACTCACTTGGAATTTTTAATGCTACTACATAGTTGTGGAATTGTTGTCAATGCCCAGTCGGAAAATCAAAAATAGGTTCCCCTTGCCCTTATGAAAGCGTTACTTAAGGAAGATATCAATAAAATTTATGGGACAAACAGCCTGCACGTGTTTAAATCTGAACTAATTTGGTTAGAAAACACTGGAAATAATGTCAAATAATGACGTAGGCGAGACGTTGACATAAGTCAAAGATATGTAACAATAGCTAATACATCTACTTGAAGAATATGGAGGTAGGAGGGATGATTCATGTAGGGGAGAGTTGAGCAAACATGAAAACCATTGACTATAAAATACCATGGAATACGAGTTGAGACCTAGGTAGGTTAACTAACAACGATTAAAATCCAAAGCATAGAAAAATTAAATCCAGTCAAAACTTGTTTGTTCATTAATCTGTGGAATGAAGAATTGTTTAATATCCCTATGATTTCGAAAAATCTTGACAATGAACTGAATATCATAAAGCGAATTGGACAAAACAAGGGTTTTGGACCCCATATTATCAAAAAGATCTTGATAAATCCTTCAATAGTAGCTTATAACCAATACAAAATTCGAGAATACGTTTTTCATCCATTCCTTTCCTTGGCAAAGTCTCATATGACATCAAAAACATTTTTCATCGATATATTCTTTTTACAGAATTGGTAATATTTCAAACAATTTTGGTAATTCTAAAGATAAAGTCCCTTTGAATCACAAATGAGGAGTTTATTGTATTTCTTGCTCGGATCCAAATTGCAATGCTCAATATGTTGGAAAAAGTGGTAGGAACATTTCAACCAGAGTTACAGAACATGTTATGATCATTGAAAAATCCAAAAATACACCCCCTCTGTTTGATGAATATAACACAAGTTCTTCACATCCTAAATTCACGCCATAGTTTTGATCCAAAACAGGACCTTAAAATTCTACATGTCTGTCCAAAAGATAGGTTATTGAATATTCTAGAAATTTTCGAAATTAACTCTTCTTTTAATGATAATTCCGTCTTGTCTCTCAATAAACAAACACATTTTGACTGTATTGAATTCTTCAATACTTTGGATTTTAATCGCTGTTAGTTTACCTACCTTGGTCTCAACTAGTATTCCATGGTATTTCATAGTCAATGGTTTTCAGGTTTGCTCAACTCTCACCTACATGCATCCCTCCTCCTACCTCCACATTCTTTGAGTAGTTGTATTAAGTATTGTTACATGCCCATGCTCATGGTCGGAATTTAATGTTTTATCCCTTGACATTGACTCTGACTTATGTCAACGTCTTGCCTACGCCATTATTTGACATTATTTTCATTATTTTCTCACCAACATATTTTAGATTTAAACACGTGCTGGCTGGTTCCATTTTATTGAACCCCTTTTTTAGAAAAACTCGCTAATTTATGGTGTTGTCAAAACAAACCATTCGGCAATATCCCTCATATACCATTTCAGTATATGACATTTCAATGAAAATAATGGTATGCGCTCTCAAAGCACGTGGCCCTTCATTCATTGAGAACCCGTTTTTCATTATTGATTTGATTTTTCGACTATGGGCATTGTCAACTATTCCTCAACTAGTAGCATCAAAGATTTTTTCAAGTCCAAGTAAGTCAAGAACAAATTACGTAATTCTTTCACATAAGCCTTTTTGTGTTTTAGAACTTTCAATTAGGCTGAAGATGGTATTTTATAAAACCGACATGTCCGTTATGATCATATAAAAACACCATAAACATTTGTGGAGATGACTTCGAGCATTCCACCCTTCCTTTGACAAGATACTTTATTGGAAGACAATAAAATATTATTAAAATTACTTTATCGATTAAATACATACCTTTACCACTCTATGGACAGTAACCGTAACAAATCCCTATAAATTTAGCACATTAATAGGCAAGATGCACTCAATCATAATGGGAGAATAAAAAAACTTTCTGTATGCATTGTCAGGTGATGTACTGTTATGAAGTTGTGTCAGTCGGTAACGAAACACACTATAGTTTAAGACCACGGTAGTTGAATCAAATCATTGGTTGGTTTGTATATTCCAGCTACTCTCAAATACATGACGTATGGAGAGTTGGTATGTTCCACTATAAACCATATCCCACTACTATACACCACTTTCCATATAATCAACAGAAACTTGAAGAAATAACTTTTCTACTTACTACTTCACCTTTGTTTCCATATGCAAGGAATAGAACTGAACCATTTTCTAATTCATTATCATCTAGAATTCTCTCAGCTGTTGGCACAGTCAGTAGGCTTCCCATAATCTTCACCCACTCTTCTCTTGAATTAATTATGCTCTGAACAAATTTTAGTCTACTAAAGCTTTTTGATAACGAACTCATGGACTCTTTCAGACGTCTACTTGATATTGCATACTCTTTTGGAAATGATATATAATATGCCCCAAACTCATGGTCTGTTGAAACCGTTTCATTGGACTTCAGTAAATGTGTACAATTCCTTATCTGAAAATCTCATAATCTACATTTGTTTAAAATATGACAGGCCATGGGTACCTTATGATCAAATCTAATATCAGGCTTATCACAGCCATAATTTTCAATGGCATGGGCATATGACATTCGTTGAAATTTATATGGTATTGGATTCGAAAACTTTGGCCAACAATATTGGAAGAGATCTTCTATGAGATTCAAGATATCTTCAACAGAAGTGAAAGATAACTCAATGTCCAACTGTGTGAATTCTGGTTGTCTATCCGGTCTGGTACCTTCGTCTCGATAACAACGGGCTATTTGAAAGTATCGATCTATGGCTCCTGCCATCAGCATCTGTTTGAACTGTTGCGGACTTTGAACAAGAGAATAGAACTGCCCAGGAAATCTCGTGGGAACAATAAACTCTTGGGCACCCTGAAATTTTATTCAACTTCAATATTTATATAGTATTCATTGCTGAATTCAACAATCAGATCAGCCTAATGATCCATAGATTAGGAATTAGTAGTAAGGCTTAGTCCTTGTGAATACTAATTTTCCAAATTTCGTGAAAGGAATTTGAAATCTACGAGAAAAGTCAAATTCTGCAAAAATTTACTAGGGTCCTTGCAGAATGATGAATTTATTCATGTTTCCCCTGGAACACCGTTAGGATTTCAGAATATTGTTGTGCAAAAAAACTACACTGGAATCATATACAGGGTGGTCCAACGAAAACTTCACCCCCCCCTTCCGATTTAGGACTTTAAAATGGAAATTCGAAAAAACGCTCGGACCCATCGATCTCAGGTTCGAGGAGGACGACTTGTCTGGTTTTTTCATCCCCACGTAATTTCAACCCCCTACCAGGTGGAAGCACAACCCCCGGATTCTGAATAGGGATGAGGGGTGTTGCGATACCTCATTTTGAATATTTCATACTATCCGACCCTTTAATTTCGCGTTAAAATTTTCATTGATAATGAAATAAGAGATGAAATAGTGGACGAGGCAATGTCGAATTTACCTCCAAAATATTATTCTTATTTGAGTAGGATTCAGAAAGTTCGATTTAAGTACCTCAGTTCAATATTCAACGTTTGAACCATGTCAAATCGATTGTTAAATATTCATGATGAACAGATAGTGCGTGAAAAAACTTTTTGAATAAATACTTTCAGAATACTACTCTAATAAGAATAATATTTTCGAACTAAATTCGGCATTGATTCTTCCACTATTTTATATCTCATTTCGTTATCGATGAACATTTTGACGCGAAATTAGAGGGATTTTCATTTCAATGCCCTGGAATCGGGGTGAAAAGTTGTCGTTGGACCACCATGTATAATGCACAGATCACCCAACTACCTAGATACGAAATCTAGGCCTGCCATCAGAATCTGATTTTTATGCGCATGTTCGGCGTCGCCATGGTTACAAGGGAGAATTGAACTCTATTCGACCACTCCATTGCACTTGAACAAATATAAATGATCAGATTTTTTTTTAGTTCCATTATTTCAGTTAGGTATGCTTTTTAGGTAAAACTCATACTGAATTAAAGCTTTCTTATTTTTTAAAGATGCGAAAGAAATTGAAAAGAAGTGGTAGTTACTGCCTAGTTCAGATGATAGTAATCTGTAGATGAAGTCCGCTTTGGGTTTGTATCTTGAAGCGAATTCATGATATAAAATTAAAAAGTAGAAGAACTAGAACTATTTTAATCAATTTTAGAATTTGTGAAGAAGACTTCCGAGTTTATCTATTTCTTCGAAGATCATATGGAAGAGTTTTCTAGTCGTGACAGAGAGTCAATAATGAGATAAAAATGATATAGGTGTCATGAACCTAATTTTTGAGAAAAACATTGGTGTAACGATTGAACTCAGGAAATATACTTTTATTTTAATAGTATCAGAACTCCCGATACCAACGATGCGATTCATTCTGTACACTCTACATTTTTCATATATTCGTCACTATTTTCCTGTTATATCATTCATCTCTTTTCTACAATTGTCACTGATTATTATTATTGGGCAACTATGGTTTCAAGTTATTGGAGGTAATAATAATAAATCGACTTAATTAATAAAGATGTGATAAAAAAACTACAATTTTAATGATCATTAATGGGGCGAAATTTAGCTCTCACATCTAACCGCATAATGATCTGCATATCATATAGCATGTTAGAAAAGAGTAGTAAGAGTACCTATATAATAATTACATGGTTACAGATTTTTAAACATAATAAACCGCCTTTATTGACATCAAAATAATTAATTACCTGGGTAGGTAGAGTTTTTGCTCGAAACGATAGTTGAAAGCAGAGTTACTGAGACAATGCAAATTCTCAATGTATTTCTTTGAATATATATATAAGAATATTCCTTTTTAAGACTGACTAAGTGATGTGATATCAAGGCCCAGTATATAATGAGATATTATAGAATCGTTCATTGATCATAACATGGCGCAGTCGGTATTTGAACTGTAAGCAATATTGCATCAGTATAATAATATAAAACTGAGTGTTTTGCAAAGTCAAACAATGCCCAGGCCTTCGAGGAAGTCGAACACAGAAGATCTAATCCATAGCAAACTGGCACCACTTGAATCTTCTATTGCATCCCTGGAAGAATGTACCAAAAACTCTCTGACGAGTATACAATCGGATTTTATTGCTCAATTGAAGGAAATACAAGAAGCTCTTGGAAAAATTCTACAGAAGAGCATTGAGAATGTGGTTCCAATAAGTGATGAATCGACTGATCAGACACAATCAAGTGAAAATATAAGTGATTCAAGTAGTGATATTACCAAATTTATTCGAATTTCCGGAACAATTCCTGCCCCAGAAAAAAATTCTGAAAATTTAACACTAGCACAATTCATGGATTGGAGAAGGAAGTTTGAGAACTATTTAACGCTACAGGGATTGCAGTTAGGCTCTTCAAATCAAATTTCAGCATTTTTGTCATCATTTTTCACATAGCTGATGTAGTGCGTTTAGTTCTAAAAGTTGATAATGTACTAAAAAAAAGGTCATATATACTCGATAAACTTGAGGAGTATTTCAAGAAAAAGGAAAATGCAAGATGCAAGATATTACCGGATTCTGCAGAAGTAGATGAAATAGTCAAATTATGCGAATCAGAAGAATCTGCCATTCTAGAAGAAAACCAGTTACAGAGAAAAGTATGCAGTACTTCGAGTAATAAGAATACTTCATTTTCAAAAAAATGTCCCCGTTGCAACACGAAATGGAACAAAAGCTTGAGAGAATGTCCTGCAAAAAAATTTGTTTGTAAGAAATGTTCTAAGAAGGGTAATTTCTCAGAATGTTGCCGTTCAAGATGAGTTCAAATGTTAGATCATAATGAAGACACGGATGAAGATATATCAAGAATAGGCCATCTCAGAATAACTCCTGTTAGAATGAATAAAATATCTATTGGGGAAAGACAAATTCGAGTGAATATCGGCATTGCCAATGGCGGTAAAAATAAATCAATCAATTACCCTGCGACACCAGATACTGGTGCAGAAGTTTATGTTGCTGGTGAAGAATTCTTACAAAAAATTCATATTCGTGCCAATGAGCTGGGACCCTCCAATTTGAAACTGGAATCTGCGAATGGATCACGTTTAGTCGTATTAGGTGTTGTGGAATGTAAAATTGAATATGAATGCTATCAGACACGTACTCCAATTTATATCTGTCGAAATGTCAGAGAACTACTTATTGATAGAAAATCACTCATCGATTTACGAATAATTCATTCAGATTTTCCAAAACCTATACCAATCAATCTTTTGTCAGTTGATTCTTCGAATATAATTCCTAAAAATCCTTCAAGAAAAGAATGTGAAATCATTCGACTGAACTTACTCAATCAATATCAGATCATGATGTGTTCAGTTCGGATTCGATATTGAAACCTATAGTAGGAAAACCAGTACATATATATTTGAAAGAAGACTATGTTCCATTTGCTATAACGTGTCCAAGAAAAGTTCCATTCGCATGGAGAAATGAAGTTAAACATGAATTAGAGACAATGTTATCAAAAGGTATAATCAAACCTGTACAAGATAGTCCTTCAGAGTTTGTTAGCCCTCTGGTGGTGGTACAAAAATCCAATAGAAAAATGAGAATTTGTGTTGACTTCACAATGTTGAACAAGCATGTCAAAAGGCCAGTCCACCCTTTCAAATCTCCGTGGGAAGCTGTTTCGAATGTTAGCAGAAAGTCAAGATATTTTTCAACCTTGGATGCCACAAGCGGATACTGGCAAATTAGCCTCGACAGCGACAGCCAAATCTTAACAACCTTTCCTACGCCTTGGGGACGATACCAATTCCTACGTGCTCCAATGGGCCTAATAAGCTCTGGTGATGTATTTTTCTTAGAGGTGATTCAGCTTCAACAGGCATAAGGAATATTGAAAAAGTCGTTGATGACATTCTAGTATTTGATGAAACATTTGAATAGCATTTAACAAGAATTAAAGAGTTGCTAGAACGTTGTCGCAACAAAGGTATAACACTGAATCCTGATAAATTCGTATTTGCTCAACCAGAAGTTGAATATGTAGGATATATGTTAAGAGTAAATGGTATAAAGGCTGATCCGAACAAAATAGAAGCAATTCAAAAATATCCGAATCCGGATAACTTGACATAGCTTAGATCATTTATGGGATTGGTGAATCAGTTGGGCAATTTCTCATCGGAAATTAGTATGCAGGCAGCTCCTCTCAGAGGCCTTCTGAAACCAAAGAATGAGTTTTTGTGGTCATCGATTCACGATAATGCATTTGAAAAAGGTAGAAATGCTTTGACATCTCCACCTATTCTAGCTCATTACGATCCTTCTTTGCCTACAGAACCTGGTCTTGGATATATCCTTCTACAAAAACATGATGGAGATTTGAAACTCATCCAGTGTGGTTCAAGGTTTCTTTCTGATACAGAAACTCGTTATGCAATGATCGAAATAGAGCTCTTGGGTATTACATTATTAATAAATGTAGATTGTACTTAGCAGGTTTGGATACTTTGAAAATCAAGATCGTCCATAAACCACTACTACCGATTTTGAATAATCAAACCTTAGACAGCATTCAGAATACAAGAATACGGCGATTAAAAGAAAATTTAGCAGGATTCAATTTCGAGGTAGAATGGATAAACGGGAAAATCATTCAATTCCAGATGCCCTTTCCCGTGCTCCTGTTGGGGCACCTGTTATTGAAGACTTTGTAATCAAGAAAATGTAATTGAAAATTAATCTCATCAAGACCCGTTACTACAAAAGCTACAGATTGCTGCCAATGGAGATGATAACTACCAATCACAAATGAAACAAATACGACAAGGCTTCCCAAAATCAAAAATCGACCTTCCTTTGGTACTCAGACCATACT